ACTCCAGTTTCCTGGTATGTAGAACAGATTTGCTAGCAGGTTGCTTTGGAAATTGCTGTAGTATCACACAGAAATTGTTTATAACGTGTCACTTTTGGTAGTGTTAATACATCTCTATACTGCATTATTCAGTGGAATCTTTGGAGAAGCATGGTAGCAACAACCACGCTGATTAAATTAAATATTTCATTGAAAATCCTGCAGTTCCTTGATCTTCGCCTGGTAAGGCTGAAGCTAAATGTTCATGAAATACCACATAGTAGGATTTCTTTTCTGTAGCCAGTAAACTTGGAATTAATCATTCCATTGTTTGCAATTGCTCTTAACCTTTGAGTTTGAGGTGAGTCCTCCAGGAGCCTTCCTTTGTACTTAATATTTAAACAAATGAATGGTCTTTCAAAGATCTATTCTCGCACAAGTAAAACAGATTAAAGTTTTCCTCCAGAGCCAAATTCTGGTTCCATATCTGTGTTGAATAGTGACCACTGGAATGAGCAGTTCCACTCAGAGCAGGGATTAATGTATTTGATTTGTTTCAACAAAACAATTTGAAGAAACGACTGACTGCTTGAGGTAAATGAAGGAATTAGGTTTAGCCTGTTAGAAATAAGATTTGGGTTATTTTAAAAAAAAATGAAATTAAACTTCAGAAGTTCTGAGTGTGTGTAACCTCTGCTGAAGTCAGAGTGCTGTGTATTTTAAAATTAGGCCATTAGTGAATCTGCTTGGTAGTAATCTGAAGTTCCTTGTAAGGCAAATTGCAATTTACCTCTCTGGTGCTATTGTGCTAATGGAAAATTGGCAGTAATGTTTTTAAAAGAGAGCCTCTGAATAATTTTCTCTGCTCTTGTCTGCAGTGACATACATGACAACACTGACTGCAATGCGATTTTTAAATAACTCTGCATTCGTTCTTCTCCTCCTTTTAAGTCAAATCAGTTTTATTTACACCACTTCACTTTGATACAGCTAATAGGGCCCTCGTGATAGATTTAGAAGTTGGGTGGAGGAAAGAGATGATTCTCATTTTAATTAATGCTGCAGCTTGTTAATCTTGTGCGTTTTACTTTTTAGACATCTTAGAGAAGACAAATGGTTTTAGTAGATAAGAAAAACTATTAATGATGAAAAGGATAGAGGGACACTGATTCTGAATTTAATTTTTAATGAATATTTAAAAATGTCTAAATGAAGGAGGGATTTAATGCTGTATTTTTAAAGTGGTGATCAAATGGCACGTACTGTTTTTAACTGTTGCTCATTGGTAGCTATTTCACATATGATGCCGGGAACTAAAATTGTAAGACAAGTGCTCTTCTTGCAGTTCGTACTAGATCTGAAATGTATTGTATCAGCACAAGGCTGTAACTCACTCATGGACTAAAATATGTGACTGCAGAAAGAATTTCAATACCATGCTGGATTCTGCTCGAATGTATCCAAGTACAGGATTGTGGCCTTCATTTGTTCTTTTTTTTTTTTTTAAACTGATTTGAGTTTTTTTTTCAACTTGAAATTGAGATCTTATGTAAGAGCTTTAAGGGAGGTTGTATGTTGACACCCAACCTTGTCTTAAACTTTTGTAAACTGGAAATCTTTGAAAATGTATTCTGTATTCCTGAATAAAGTCGGTGTTTTAATACTGTTCACAAGTGCAGATGTCCCCTATCTCATCAAGTCTCGTTTGGGTTAGCATTACAGACACCTACCTGAGGTGGTCTCCAACTTCTGCATTCCTTGTGAAGTTCTGATAAATCGGTGTGGGTTTTAAACACTATTTTAAGAAAGGAAGTGATAATGGAAACCCACATGTGCATATGTGTATAAAAGCATACTGATACGTATGTCTTGTATTTATACAGATGAAAATTGCTTAATTTCTTCCTTATCTTCCCATTTAGTTTGTGGTGTCAGAGAGGAGGCCCTGAAGCCCTGTTCAGTTGCTCTCTGGACTGTAGCAAAGCTCCGGAGACCTTGGCAGAACCCGGTGCTCTGTGTTGGTGCTGCATACAGATTTATCAGCAGAGCTGCAGGGCCTTTAGCATTAGCTTCTACCCCCCCTCTTTCTGCCTGCCCCTTTCCCACCACGTGCACCCCCGGTACAACATCCCTGTGTATCTCCAGCTCTGCGATCCACGTGCCAGACACGTGAGCCAGGATCGAGCTGAGACACTTTGTGGAAGGTTTGTGTCTGGCTGGAGTCCCACGTCGGGGCGCTTCCCCCAGCACACGCCTGCTGCGAGCACCGCTGTCATCGTGGGAACTGCTCAGCCCACCAAGCCCAGACCCACGTTGTGTCTGGATCATAGCCACTCTTCCTGCCGAGGTACGTGATTAGCCACACTCCTCTCAGAGGGCTAGCGTTAAGAAATACCCTTTCTATTACAAAGTTATTCTCACAGTCTGAAGAAAATGGCTCCAAATACCATGTCAAAATATTTCTGTCTCAAAAAGAATATGGAGGCTGACATATTTCACTTCCATGACTCATCTCCACTCTCTACCTTGGCAAAGGCATGTCAGTTTTATCATTATCCCAGTTAATTAAGTCACATACCCTCACCAAAATGCTCAGACAGTAATCTTTGTTTGACACTGGCAAACTGCCCCCAAAATAAAGAGCGGTGGATTCAGAATTCACTCCAGCACCGCAAGGGAGAAGGATCTGTTGATGCTGCCACAATGCGTCCTCTGCGGGGGGGGAGCTTGGAGCCGGCTCATTCAGTCATGTCCCAGCAAGGGCTACGCTTCAGAAATGTTGATTCAGAAGACAGCCGCTTATGAAAACAAATAGCATGCTCTCCAGCTAAGCTCCCTGATTAATCATTTTTATTCTTTCTGCTTCCAATTTGTTTAAAGACCTTAATTTTTACACCTCAAAAATTAAATATGCAGTTTATTTCAGCAGTGATTTTATGGCATCTTTTCTTGCTGATTTGTGGCAGCCTCCTAATCTTTCAGTCTCGGTTATCTACTGGTGAGAGAGCTAAGAGGCTTTTCACCTTTTGGGGAGCTATAGTCCAAAATGATGTGCTGTTATTACTTGAAGTAGAGGCGTCTTCATGTGGAAATTCACGGCTCTTCAAGTGCGCTTTTCAAAGGAGAGTTGAGGGTATGCATATTGCATAAAGCCCTTTGGAAAAGTACTGGATTGATCTCTCTAGGGAATTAAATTTTCTGTTTATCCACAAAACATAGTGTGAATAGCTAAACTGAAACGTGATTCTCTGCTTCCCAAAATCCCAACAGTTCCTTAAGGCCACATGGAGGGGACCGCTGCTGATCCGACCCTTAGCATTTCTGTGGGAGTGCACCCAAAGAGTTTCAGTCCTACAGTTGCTGAAGACCACAGAGAAGACCACTTTTTCATTGAGAACTGATTTGGGACCATCAATGCCTATGTTCTTCTCAACAGCCAGTGTAGAGGCAAGTACTTTTTCCTTAGTAGATCTCACCTAAGATTAATTCGTACCAGTCACCTTGAGGTAAAAACAAAACAAAACAAAATCTCATTACTTAATGCCATAGCCTGTAACTCCTTCAAATTTAAGTGTGGTCATTTCTCAGCACAAAACCACAAGAGCCTTCATCAGTGTAAGAACAATAGGGGTAATAGTCTAGTTTGACCCAAAAGTGCTCGTTTCAAGAAAAGCACCCTGGCAGTGTCAGTTTGATTGAATGAATGAGTGGTCTGTCGCATTTGTGTGGAATACCTGCTGTTTCCTTGACAAATGTGAGCCATGTCACAGCACAGTGATGAAGAAGTATGATGTTTTATTTGACAGAGTAGATTTTTCTTCTCGTTTATTTGTGACAGGGTTATCTTAGAAAACGCTGTTTGCTCAACAATGCATCCAAAGTAACACTTGGTTGCACAGGTTTGGGGTAGGGAGAGGAAGATCTGGTTGGTTGGTTGGTACATGTTAAACCTCCAAAGGGATTATACATCTCCATGCATAGGAACACTTATGAAGTGAGAGACCTGAATTTTTCACATCACAGATGAACCATCTCCTGTGACTGCTGAATGTGCAATGAGAGGGACAGAACAAAATTTACTGCACAAGACTTTCTAGAGAGAGGCAGTGCTCTTCATATAGCCTTTGCTGTGTATTGTGGCCTTGTGCTGTAGTGGACCCTGGATGTGCTCACTGAAACAATCCAGATTCAGGTCACAAGGAGGTAACAGGTACATTTGAGAGGATTTATTTGCAATGGAGAAGGCTGTCTTTCCAGTGTATCGTTATACGTGGGAGGATTTTTCCCTTACGTTTAATGAAAACTGGTGTTTCCAACTTGTCTTTTGTTTCTATATTCCACCTGTGTACCTGAAGAAATATTTAAATGCTGCACAGTAAATGTGTTTGCAAACTAAGAAAACATCACTGATATTTGGCTGTTTTCTGTTTACTCAAATATGATTCAAAGGTGAGAGCAAAAATTCTTCATGCATCTGGTTCTGCATTTATTGGTATCCCCTGGTAGGCTGTGCAGAGCAGAGGAGCCAGCAGAACCGATGAATTATCCAGAGTGGATTTGGAGAATGCTTTGCTTCAGAAGTAATGGAGCTGCCTTAAATACCTGCTTCTGAGGTGTCATGTTAGATATGCTGGTTAAGACATGGATTAGGTGAAATAATACAGTACCTGAGCTTCTACAGAAAGAAAAGAGCGTGCCCACCTAAGAGATGAAGCAGGTTTTCCTTAGCAAAGCCTGTCTCCAGAAGCTGCTTGGCCCCAGGCTTCGAAGTTCCTGTGGCCCTGGTGGGCCTGGTGCTGAGACAGCAGTCACAGCTGTGAAAGCTGTGGTTGTTATGTTTTGCAGCACATCTTGGTCTGTCTAGTGTGTGAAAATAATTGGAATGATTGTCACCTTCTTTTAGGAAGCTAGATAGAAATCCTCTGGCTTCTGTGCTGAAGTCATGCTTCTCAAGCAACTAACTGCTCTTGTTACTCTTAACAGCTGACTCCTCTTCTTTTTTCTCTGTTTCAGGGGTGTGAGAAAGATTTGCACTTTTTTGTAAGTGAGAACATCTGAAACAGGGACAGACATCAAGATTGGTTTTGGGAACAACAAAACTGTCATCTTCCAAGATCCAGCCTCCTGACCGTTGGGTGTGCTGTCTGATCCAGCCATTTATAATCTTCTGAATCCATTCAGTTTTACAGAAGCGTATCGCTTGCAGATTTAAGAAAAAAGACAAAGGGAAGTCTGGACCTGCAGGTAACTCTTTCAAGTTCTCTTCTTTTTCAGAAAAATTAGGGCAGCAGTAGAAACAAAAATTTAAATTCTGTATTTTCGCCTAACCTCTAGGTACTTGTTTGCATTATTTATATTTGCAGACTTACTGAAACAGTTATTCTGTATAGCTCTGCGTGGAGGCTTCTGTTCTAGAATAAGTTTGCAATTAATCCTGAGTAGGTATTTTGGGAGGTTTCCACAGGTTAACAAATACGAATGGACTGTGAACGTCTCCCGGAAGGGAGCTAGGGTGTATTGCAAGCGGCATGCCATAAATAACGCTGATATAGATGCAAACTGCACTTTGTGTGTGAATTGTAGGGTTATGGGTGCAGGGGCTGTAGCAACACCTTGCCAGATGACTGATGCCACCAGCTTTTGCTTTACACCATTGGAAAGGGAGCAAGGGGGGAAGTAGGAGGAGGAGATGTTGTTTTTAACCCAACTATATAGGTAGCCCAAAGTGATATGGGAAACTACCAGAGAGAAGAGAGCGACCCGGCTGCCTTTTATGCTGACATTTGAAAAATGAGCTCAAGATAGAGCTTTGAAGGGTGGCTTGGTGATATTATTTAAGAAAAAGAAGAAAGTCCCCACTTTCTTTCCTTGATACCAGTAGTGAGAATGAGATGACTAACGTGTGGGGGAGAGAGTGGTTTGAAATGATTTCTGGATTTTTTTTTTCATCCTTTGAAAATTTAGGTGAAGTTAATTATGGAATGGCAGCGGTGTCTGATCTGAAGCAGGCGCTTTCATCTCACCTCCTGCTTTTAAAATCACTGCGCTCTTATCTCTGCTTGGAGGAAGGGGCATGGTGGGGAGCGCCCCGGTGCTCTCGTGGCCTGGTGGTGGCTGGATAAATGAAAAGCCTTGCAAGATCGGGGCCATTAAAGACTGCGAGCAAAGAATTAACAGGAGCTTAGGAGCAAATTTCCCATGGTGATGGTGACCAGAGGAAGAAAAAAATCTGTGGTCTGCAAAAGACAAAGAAAAAAAATACAAAAATGTAATGAGCCCAATTGCCTTAATACTGTCTCAAAAAGGTTCTGTTTAAAAGGAAGATGAAGCAGGCAGGAGCTTGGAGATGCGATGGGTGTTTCCCCTAATCTCTGCTCGCAGTCTCAGTCACACAGATGCTGACATTAACCCTTCCCTTCGTTAATCAAGCCTCAGTTGCAACTATTACTCATTATTAAGAGCCTGCCACTGTGCCAATAGCATTTTTTGTGTGTATTAATCTGATAAAGCAAGCAGAGGAGCTCAGTTTCCAGCGCAGGTCAGGTGTGGTGTGTGACATGCAACAGCGAGGGCTGAGGTGGGTGTTGTGTGTCAGGGCCCCATGGAGCTGGTGCTGCCACGCGGCGTGCTGGGTGGCACTGGCAGCTTCAGGGTGCCAGGATGTCTGAGTGACCCAAAGCGTGATGGCATAGGCACACCTGAGGACTTTATGTTCTTTCGAAGAAACAGACGCTGTTTTCAGTGGAAGCAGAGGCAGAACTGAGCTTAGACAATCACCTCCAACTGGTTCATCCCTTGTCCTGCTGAGCTGTGCTGAGTTGTCCTTTGATGATGATTGTGACCTGCTGCCCTACTTCTGAAGTAAGAAAGCCTTTAAGTAATTAATCACTCCTGGGATTTTTATTTTTCAGGTCACTGAGACGAGATCAGCATGAGAGAAGATCATGGACTGCTGGATGTTTTCCCACTGAGGGTTTCAGGCCTCTTCCAGTGACTGCGTATGGCAGCTGAGCCATGGGGTAAGCTAGTCTGAAAGCCCTTCACCATGTTATGGGATCCAAGCACCCCCTTAAACAGAAGCAAAGTTGTTCATCTTTACCAAATGGACCATGACAGATCCAAAGGGAAAGGGGAAGAAGTGAAGGGGAGGGAGAGGTAAGATTTAGGTGGCATTAAGGCTGTGATATCTCCTAACAAAAGCTTGGAGCTGTTGCTCGTTAACATGAAATGTTGTCCTGAACGTGCTGCAGTCTCTGGAGAGCAACTGACTTCTCACCACCAGCCAAGCAGTGAGAGGCCTGCAAAAGGCCCCCCAGAGGTGGTGGGGAGCCTTCCCTCTTCTGCTAGGGAAGTGTCACTGGGTCTGTCTGCCCCCATCTCTGTTTATTCTGCGAGTTTAATGAAGGAGGCCCTGAAGAATTTCTTGTCATACTTGGGCCCGTGGCTAGATCTCTGTCAGCTTCCCGTTGCGTTGCCCTGTGGTGAAGACCTGGTGCTTCAGCAACGTGCTCAGCCTGAGGACTGCAGTCTGCCATGGCAGTCCTTTAACATCTTCTTTCGGGACTGCTGGGCAGTGCCCTGCTGATGGAAGGTGACTCAGGCAGTTAAAAGACCATCGCTGAACTTTCCTGGGATGTTCTCACAGCCCAACATCTGCCCGTGGTTCTATCAGAACATGGGATGAGGCAGCCTTGTATGGATTTTGTACTGTCATGTACAATGGGTTTTGTCCTCTGGCTTGCAGCAATGGAGCTGGTCTGGGCTCCTGCGCTGCTGTGACTTGACCAGCTGCTTGGTTCTCCTGTCCCACCAGAGCTATCCTGCCTGTCCTGTCTTTAGGTGGCCTGTGGGAAGAAAGAAGCAAGCGTCTCTTCAGAGGCAGCAGGTTGGAGAGGCATCTCCCAGCAGTACATCAGCTATGGCTTGGTAGCACCAGACATCCCTGGGGGTTGAGACACTGCTTACCCTGTCTTAATGCAGGGATTTGTCATAGTCAGCGGCCCGTGCAGATAGAAGTGGGAGCATCCTTCTCTGTGAGAAGCCCGGGTTCAGGCTGATTATCAGCATGTTAGTTACGACGTGTTTGTGTTTTTCAAGTGTCTTGTCTTATCCGGTAGGAAATTATAGCTTCGGCTCTAGTCTGGTGAGTCTAGGAGTCACAGCCTGAGGAAGAACCTTTCAAATCCAGGATCTGAAACTATAAAACATCTGGGATGGTTACTGCTGAGTTAATGGCCCAGTGAAGAAACAAATCACTGTGTGCCACTTCATGCTTCTCATCTGCCTGATCTCTGTTTTTCCCCGGCAGTCAGGCTGCCCTCACTAATCAAATGCAATCCAATATAATCAAATGCAATGCAATAGTGTCCTTTTCCTTCGCAGGCCGGGTTTATTTTTCATCCCATGCTACAAGGGGGCACATGGACATGAGGCTGAATTCATTGCTCTCCATCTGGGTCAGCAAGAAATGACTCAGATCTTTTCCTAGATCAATGAATCGCCATCACGTCCCCGCAACCTTGCACTCCCTGCTAGAGACAAGAAAAATCATCCTTTGTCTTCTGTGTGGCGCTGGCACTGTGGCTGAAAAACGCTCCCCTTTTTATGCCTGCTTATTTTATGGCATGGTGCATTTTTCTCCATGGGCTGTGACGGCCCTCTCGTTAATCTAATGAGTGCCCGCCCGTGAACCGCCAGCCCGGAGCGCTCCCTGCTAGGTTTGACCCCAGTGAAGGTGGGATAGAGGGGCTGGTGATTCTGGGATGGTGTCCAGCAGGAACACCGTGCTTCTCTGAGAGCTGAACACTCGGATAAATAAGTGAATCCATCGAGGATTAGCCTGGTTATTTACCAGCCTGTCTTTGAAACATGTGAAGCATTTCTTCTTTGGTCTGCAAGTAGAGCAGTGATTCTCAGTTAAAGGTAAAAGAGGAGGGGAAAGAATCGGGAAATTGGCATTGGGCTGCTTTTAGGCAGGTCTCTGAAAAACGTCAAAGAAAAGCACTTTGTCATTTTCCAGTCGATGATGTTGCTTCCAAGGCTATTAATTGCTGAATGTTGAATGCCCTGCTAAATACACCCACCCCACAGATGAGGCAGCTAATGAAACAAACAGATGGCGATCCGAATAGAGTAAAAGTACATAATAAAGATGTGCTTTGAAATAGCCAGACAGAGCAAATCATGCAGGAGGATGGGAGAAGGAAGGTGATGCAAAACTGAGAACAAACCACCACCACTCCTCGTGTTATTCACCAACTGGACCAGCATGCAAGTGGGAAGGTGTTTGATGATTTTTCATAATCTGATATTAAAAAGAGATGTTTTGTTCTGTCCTGAAAGTGTTGGGGTGATAGATAGGGAAATAGAGACTTGTCCAAGCACGGGGGTCAGGCAGTGTCTGTGCATCTCGCCGCTGTCCTGGGGGCTGTGTGTATTCGCAGTGACATTTGTTTACTTTCTATTTTAACATCGCCTGGGGGGAAAAAAAATTGTTTGCCTCCATTCCCAAACTAATGCAATTTGAAATGTTGTGCTAGAGATTCTGGGAGGCCTGGGGCAAGTGTTAAAGCTGTGACCCTCTGGATATTAGACGGTGTTATAGCAGGCAGAGTATCTTTCTCCCGGAGTCAAGCAGAGGGCTGGGAGAGCATGGCTCCTGGGCTGCCTCCCTCCCTCCCTCCCCTCTCCTGCTCCCTCCGCACCATCTCTGGGCTGTCCCCGCTCCGTGCCAGCAGGCAGGCTGGTGCTGCAACGTGCTGGCCTTCCAGCTCTGCTTTCTGGAGACAGCTGAGCGCTTTGTGAGCCGTGTATTAAGATTTATAAACCTCTGTGAGGAGGCAGAATGACATGGAATAATTTACTTCTGAGTCCAGGGTAAAGGCAGGTAGTGGACTGTGCCCTAGGACTGCAGGACAGGCAGTGGGGAAGCCCGTGAGGGATGCTGTTGCTGCTCACCCCAGTTGTTGTTGCATCTCCCCGTTATGGCCACTTTCCTAGCTCCCTGCAGCCCGTTTTGCTGGCCCTTCCCACGGTGCTGGAGGCAGTTTCTGAGTTGCTGGGCACTTTGGGAAGTTACAAGTGGTTCGCTCGGACTAGGATGAAATTCCTCAGGGTGGGAAGAGGGGAGGCGAGGTGACACCTTTGTTTCAGGCGTAGCTACTAAGGCTGGGAGGGAAACAATGAGATTTAAAAGTACGTTTAGCTCCAGATTAACCCCTCCCTCATCTGCACTCAGCTACACGCAGGGTGACAAGCAAATCAATAGCCAAGACAAGCACATCTCCAGAGCTTTGTTATTTCAGCATCTGACATTGTGATACAGCCAGTAAAAATTAATTGTTCCCTTCTGTTGGCTGAAGTCTCCGCAGCACCCTCATTAGCACACAGCCAAATTTTTCTTTGTTCTGTCTTGCTGGACTAGAAATCTGTTTTGTTTGCTTGGCTTTTGTTTGCTGTGAACAAAAGGCTTCCTCGTGTCTCTGGTGCCTCCTTGCACCCCAAAGGCTGGAGGAAGGCAGAGCCGTGTTCAGTGCCTCCGCGATCATCAAAGGACAGTTTTGCAGCCTGCCTGGAAGCATCACCTTGCACCTTCCCCTGCTCTGTGGCAAGTTCCTGATTTGTTCCTGCACCCTTCTCTCTGATCATTACAGTTGTTATGATCACATCTCCCACAGAGGAAATAAATAGGAGCCCCGGCTGCCCCGATGGCCCAGCTTGCTGCAGCTCAGTTCTGTGCCAAAACAACTGTGACAGCTGCTCACTCTTGCAGAGAAACTTTAGTATCACGTTGTGCTTTCTGCTAGGTTTATTGAATAATAAATATGTAACTTAAGAGCAAATTCCTCTTGTCCTCAGCACAGCATCCACTGCTCTCTCTGGAGAGGACTGAAACAACAAGCTAGCCCTGCCTTGAAATCACGCAGACTGCTGTGCAGTCCCTGGCAGAGAACTGAAGCATTTCAGCTTCTGTGAAAGCAAGGAAGAAGCGATGGGTCCGGCTTTCATCCTCCCGTACCTCACAGGCAGAGAGAGGAGCCACAGCCTGAGCTGCGGGAGCAGGACAGGGCCAGTGGCTCCTGGCTGGCGTTTCAGATGCCCGTGTTGTCCGTGCGCCCTCTGGAGAAGAGGGGTCACAACAGGGAGACCTGCCAAAGCACCCACGGGATTGGGAATTGCAAAGTGTGTTCCAAAGGGTGCTGCTGCCCTGTGCACACTGAATACACCAGCGCTAAGGCTTGGCCTTCTGACAGGCTGTGTCAAAACTTAGGTTGCCTGCCGTGGTTTTGAGGACAAAAGCTGGGATATCGAGCACCGGGGTATCTGAATGTCTAGGCCAAAGCACAATTAAGACACGGTTGTTTTTCATTACAAGGAATTAGCTTTTTGCTGATGTGTGCATCGTGAGCCCAATACTGCTGACAGAGACGGGAGAGCTGGCTTCTAGCTAAAGCGAGGTCTCCGATTTACCCCTGCTTTCACTGCCTGCCACGTGCAGCACAGTGGCAGCTGAGGCATCCAAGTAGCCATCAATAGTAAGAAGTGTTGCCACCTTTTTGGAAACAATAGGGAATCATCACAGTAATGCCTAAAAGTGAATTTTGCTATGCTTTAGCAGACTCTTGGTTCCCCAGATCTGAGTGTGGTAAAACCTCCAGAGAATGTTATTAGAGGCTGGTTTTATTGCCTAGGCTTTCCTAGAGGTTTGGGTGTGGTGCAGTGGCTTTTAACCTCTTCATTTAAGCTTGCCTTGCTTAGACAAACCTTTTTGTGGTCTTCCAGAGCCTTTGCAAAGGGATGGGACCAGGCAGTGGGACTCCAGGACAGCTGGGACCTCTCCAGCCTTCCAGAAGCGTTCTTGCACAGCTCCCCGAGGACGTGTGGCTGCCCTCTGGGATGGCAGGTGAGAAGGAGCCTCTGCAGTGCAGAGAGGAGTGCTGCTAAAAACCTTTCACTGAGGTAAAGGCTTGGGGGATGTCCGTAGGACAGGTGCAGTGGGCCTGGGAGCTGAGCTGGAGTCCAGGAAGGCGGTGAAGACGTGGCCAATGTAAATCACTCGGGTTCTGTGTCCTCTCTGCAAAACCTTCTCATCTCAGCGCCTTTGGCAGGAGGTGTCTGTTAACAACTACACGGCACGCAGCTTAAAACGTGATGGTTTGTGCGGGTAAAGCCTGCTCTGTGTTTGGAGAGGCTGCACAAGAAAGGCTTGGGGCTGCAGCCTAACGCTAACCCGTGGGAGGCTGCAGGTTGTTCAGGGTCAGAGTGGAGGCAGCGTTGTTCATCAGGTGGGTGTGAGTGGTTCTATTTCACTGCGCCCTTTCAAGCAGCCTCGGATGCTGTGAGGGGAGGCATGCGAGGAAACTTCAAACATGTAAAAGGCTGCTGAAAAAAGGGAAAGGATCATTTGTTCTCCCACTGCCAAGTAGAAATTGGCTAAAATTTTGGATCCAGGCTGGCGACTGGGGAACATAACTTTGTTTAATAATTTTAAAAAGTAGAGGGGCACGGGGTTGGGAAGTGTTTAGTACCAGCTCAGAGAAAGAGGCGTCAGAAATGACCTTTTATCAGTCTCCTGCTGGAGTTGGTCTGTGGAGACCATCAGCCCAGCTTTGTGCCAGCTTTGATGTGGAGAGATGAGAGATCACACTCATCCACTGACACTGTCCTCATGGTACATTTGCTGGGGCATCATTTGTGGAGAGACTTTCATGCTTAGGTGCTGTTTTGCTGTTCTTTCTAAACTTTCCCTTGCTTCATGCCTCTCGGCTTATGGTGTGGAAAAAACAGAGAACTCTCTAAGCGACCTTTCAGTAACTTTGAGCAGTTTCTGGCCTGGCCTCGTGACACGCAGGCAGCTGTTTATTTATAAAGGAAGCTATGCAGACATGGCAAGGAGTTGGCTGTTGACCCTTGCAAAGTGTTGTAATAAGCTGGTGATGGAAGAAGGATAGGAAAAAATCAAAGCAAGTCTTTACATCAAAGGCAGAGAGAGGAGCCGCAATTAACATGGTCAGATGTGGGAGATTCAGCAGGGGAGAGAGCCGGTACCAGAATCTGCACTGATGTCCCCCCTGTCCAGACCCTATCAATCTTGCCAGGGAATTTGACAGGTGAGGAAAGTCAAAGAGCAGCTGAGGGATTCCGAAATCAAAGGACTTTGAAAGCTGGATCAGAGAATGGAGCGCGATTTCCCCATCTGCTTTGAATTTATTGTTGCTAATGAGGAAGCATCTGCTTTGAATTTATTGTTGCTAATGAGGTTGCTCTGGTCTGAGTGAGCACGCTGGACCAGAGGGGTCACTCGACATTTCCATCACATTCAAAGGAAGGTATCGGGGGACTTCTTCCTCCACGTTAACCCTTTCACTGTTAAGCACATATGAAAGAGCAATGTAAAGTGAGGTGGAAAAGGGGAAATACGTGTTTACTGCTTTCAAGCTGACCAAAGAGGTCAGTGGGGTCCTGTTTGGGTGCCTGACTGCTGGGAGCTCCTGCAGGCGAAGCTGAAAACCCCAGCACCAGTCCCTGCTGCCGACCAGCTCAGAAGCGTATCTGTTCCTTCTGCTCTGTCGCTGATGTTTGCCATGCTCAGTCTTCTCTGCAGAGCCAAAATTACAGGGCTGTGAATCCAAGACCTGCAAGTACCTTTGCTCTGTACGTGTAATTTATGCACAAAGCTGGGAATGGTTGAGCTGACCAGGTATTTATATCCAGGCTCCCCATCCCCTTCAGGTCAGGTGCTGTCCCCGGGAGCAGAATGTGTGTGACCGGGGCGGGCCTCTCTCCTCCGCCCCCCTGCTGTGTTTTCTAAGCAACGGGGACTGCACAGTGTGTGGGTGCAGGAGCAGATGAGAAAATTGGCTGATGAGCCTGAGGCAAGCGTTGGAGCTAATTGTGAGGCCTTTTGCATCCCATGGGAGTTAATCTTGAAATTGTCTGTTTTACATACCAGACGCTGACCTCTCCATCCCAGATTCCCCAAAACCTTTCTGTGCTTCCTGGCCTTTGCTGCCCACTCATGCTGCTGCCATCACATTTGATGTTCCCTGGCTCCTCTTGATAAAGCTGAAGGCACCAAAAGCCGCGGGGATCTGCTCGCAGAGGTGGTGATCCTTGCCCTGGGCTGAGCCAGTTGTCACTCCGGGCTGCTGCTCACCTGCAGGGCAGGAGCACTGGCGGAGACTCACAGAGCTGCAGATCTTCAGCAGGGGACAGAGAGTGCGAGGCAAAATGTTGGTGTGAGAGCTGACTCCCTGGCATACTCAAGGAGCTTGTTTGTGCAAGCTGCTGCTGCAACAGGGGCTCGGTGGCTTGCACGCAAACTGCATCTTGTCCTGAGAGCTGCAGAGCTCGGAGCCCAGCTGGCTGCTGGGGTGGATGCTGGTTGTGAACAGCTCAGGGTTTGGGGCTGGGAAACTTGCAGAGTGGGTGCTTGGAGTGGGTTCACCTCCTGTGAATCATTTTCTATTAAATTTTCTATTAAATCGTATTAAAACACAGCATGCGGTGAGACACATCAGCCCCGGCCATTCAGGAGGCACAGCACGGCCTCACCTGGCACTTCCAACCCAACCAGGTCCTGTCTGACTGAGGCATGGCAGAGGCAGCTCATTTTGAGAGACAAAAGTGTCTTCCCAGGCTGTCTGATTCTCTCTGGCTCCCTCTTCTGAAAACACCGTGAGTTACTTTTCATTCCTTTCCTTTCCTTTGTCTTACAGAAAGAATCTTTGGGTGCTGTTGTTCCTGCTTTAGTTCTTTGTTCCCCTTACGCCGTGCCGCTGCAGTGATGTGCTTATCACACTCCCAAAATGCACTGATGTGGGCGCTTGCTTAACTGTGGTGGACTGAGTGGCTGAACCAGGAGGTTTTGGGGAGCTCAAAGCCCTGGGCTGACATTGCACTTGAAGGAGTCACCCATGAGCAGTCTCGGTTTGCAATCAAACTCAGGTGCATGACAATGGCTGCTGTGCCCTCTCCTTCTTACTGCTCTTCTGAAAGACTTTCCCTTTCCTGAGGTATTTCTTCCCTGGTTGCCTCCCCGACTGTCAGGGTGTGTGGTTTTAGGGTGATCCATCATCCAGCTTCAGCAGCACCGTGCTGGGTCTCTTAGCAGCGCTGCTGAGGCTGGATCGGTGGATTGCGGTCATGTAGGAAATACCAGACAGAACAAGGTCCCAGGGTGGATGCAGGGTGCCGTGGCCATTGGTTGCTGTGATATTTAGGATTATGCTTTCAAGTGAAACGCTGGGAATTAGTGAGACAATGAGTTTTCAAGGACATTGTGTCTACTGGGAATGTTTAAACCCAGCAATATCCAGTCGATAACGTAACAGGATTAAAGCTTGTTGCATCAGAATCAGCACAATTTTGTTGCCAACTAGGAGCTAGGCACAAAAGCCCTTATGCAGCAGTTAATGGTCTTATCTGGAGACCTTCCTGCTTACAGCCCACTGAATTGCAAACACCGACCGACGATTTAAGGCACTGCCTGGCGTCAAAAGCTCCTCTGAGCTGCCGCCCAGTTGGTGCTGCTGCTGCACCAGCTGGAGGCAGGGCTGAGTGACCCAGGCACCGAAACCGTGGGCACAGACACGTCCTGTGCGCCCAGCACTGCCTGCCTCGGGGGGTCTGACCTTTCGGGGGCAGGCTAGGATTAGTGGGGATATTTTCAATGCAAGCTGCGTTTTTTCTGGTGATCTATAGGTATTGATCCTCCAAGCCAAAGGTTTTGCGAAGTCTAATTTTGGCCAGGTGTTAGCAATCCATGGACGTGCTTTGAAAGAGCAGCATGCTGTAGGCCAGAGGTGCTCGCAACATGGCAGGGAGCAGCTGGGGGGGGCTTGGTCTGTGCTGTGGTGTGCTTGGTGTGCTCCCAAAGATGTGAGAGGCAGCAGCAGTCTGAGGGGCTGTTTCAGGGTTTTAAAAAAAGGTTTGTGACATATTCTGCCCAAGTCGAGACACGATAGATCTCGAGGGGAGAGCAATGGACCCGTAAACCTCTTTGTGGGCCAGCCCTAATGAAGGACAACACCTGAGCATAGCTGGTTCATCGCAGGCCTTTCTCCGTCAGGTGTGGGATTTCCAAACATCGTAAATGCGGTAATAAAAGTGGGTTAATAAGGCAATAAATGGCAATCATGAGGTCCCTGGTTGACTACAAGAAGAAAAAAAAGAAGTCTATATTTATTTCCCTGCTCTTCTCCACCGCTGAGGTGCTGCTGGATCTGCAGGCTCTGCAGGCCCCTCCCAAAGGCCTGCCCAAGCCGTACTGCCCTCCAGGACAGATTAATCCTGTAGCAAATCCCACAGCAAAGGGCGGAAAACCAGGCAGCTCCAACCGAACCACCCTGGGCAACAGGGACCTAGCTGTGTGGATGAAATTTGTGTCCATGAGTCAACCTTGGATCATCCAGGCTCAGAGCACTCGGAGGCACCACAGCCCCCCTGCTCTGCAGGGGCACATGCATCACAGGCAGGAGTACTGCGGGAATTCAAATACATGAAATTTCTTACAACCCAGCCTATTCATCTCCCCAGTCACAGACAAGTGAAAGGAGAGGCGAGGCTAAAGCACAAAAAGCACTGGAGGTAGGGAGAAGAGCAGGGGCTGTATTCGGGGGAACCATCTCGGTGGTTGCTGCTTGCTGAAAGCAGCTGCCAGCTTACCTGGAAGGTCTGAAAGCGAGATGAGGCAAATGGGGCCTCTTCCGAAACAAACAAATGTGCTGCTCCTTCGCTGTGGCCTCTATTCACAGCTTCCTTCTGAAGCTTTTCCATATGAATGAGGTGGAAGGACAAACTTGTAAAGTGGGTCAGGGAGAGGTGAAGACTTGCTCTCAGCTATAAACCCCAGCAGGACACGACTCCTTTGAAGAGCATTGTAATAATGATTTAGGTTTAAGTTCAGGAGTCAAAGCCTGTTGTATTTTCAAAGCTGTGTGGTGCTGTGCTTCTAAGGAACCGGGGAGAGTGATAAATTCTGCAAAACACTGTTTTCTTTGTAGGCAGCAGAAAATAATTTCTGCTGCCTGCGCTGTCATAGGGAACACAATGCTCTGGCATTGACATCTTTTTCTTGGCAGTATGCTCAGCACTCTTGTAAGTCCCTTTGCCTACACACTTCAAGAGGCTTAATACCAAGTGGATTGGTTAATTATCCCATCTCCCCTAAAATAGGTGTGACTGCCTTCCTACCTGCTAGGCAGGAGACAGAGAGATCAGGTGAGCCATGGCACAGGCAGGCAGCTCAAAAGTTTGCACTTCCACTACCACCGAGGCTGCCCTCTGCAGTTTTCCTGGGGCCCCAGCGGTGACAGCAAGTCCCCAAGTCCTGCATGAAGGCCAGGCCCAGCACTGCACACCACTGCTGTGCCTGGGGAGCTGCAGCTGCTCCCCTGGGCCCTCTCTGTTCCCTCGTGCACAGCTCTGAGCAAAACCAGGCTGAGAGCCGGAGCTGCAGCCATGCCTGCCATCAGAACCAGCCCTATGCTAGATGATGCTCCCTCCCCAAACCCTGCTGATGTTAAGCTGCTGCTGCTTAACGATGAGTATCATTAGTGACCAGGGTGTTTATTTTGTATGCAGCCATCATCCCCAAAGCTATTTCCCTCTCTTTGGAGAATTACCAATAAATTGAATTCATCACCTGGAAGTCGAGTTCATTTTCAGTCACTAGCAGACTTCATAGCTCTTTTCTTTGCTTTAACGGAGGCGTTAGGAGAGTCTGTGTATTATTTTTTTTTAATTTTGAATGTTGGCATTTTCCATTTATTATTATTGAATTCTCGAAATGGGATGATGTCCTTTCAGTGCCAGAGTGCGGTCTGCTCTGGAGTGGAGGATGACAGCGCGTTCTGATACAGAAAGATTTGTTGGAAACGTTGGGGAAGATGAAGTTTTAACCAAAAATGCTACACAAATTACTTCTCTTGTTGGGAATAGTCCTGGGATCCCTTCATCCCTGCAGGCTGGGTGAGCCTAGAGGGAGGGTTATCGCAAGTCTGTCAGCAGCATCTGAAGTTCCAAGCAAAGGGCTCCATGCCTCTGAAAATGGGGCTGCTGCTCCGCGAGCTGTCTCTGGGGACTCAATCCATCCATTACACTGCACAGATCTGTCTTACTTATCTAGCAAAAGATAAAAGACCACTGCTGTGTCAAGCAACGAGCAAGACTGAAATCTGATCCTGAAATAACTAAACTGTCGTGTTGATGCATCACAAACAACAGGCGGGATCCGTGTTGTTATTGATGGCAGTGCTGGGGGCAGCAGCGGCACGCTCTGAAGGTGAGGTCTCTGCCTCACAGAACCTGCGGTCTCAAGAGGTGCTGGGCAGACTGGGACGAAAGAGAGGATGGCAGCTGCACCTTGGTTAGATTTTTTACTTAGGTTTGCTTTTATTTCTTTTTTTTAAAGCATAGGACGGGTTTTTAATTTGTTTCTTGCCTGAGGACAAGGTAAAAATGTGTACAGCTTTCATTTCACTTCCAGGGTCT